TTGGGAGCCCCCCCCACCCCAACCCCACAACCTGCCTACACACCCCAGGCTGTTTCCAGGTACACGATTATTAGTTTTGCCTAAAATTCACTTTAAGTGAAAGAAATCACATACAATACTGCAGTGGCACTTTGCAATCAGGCAGTCAGGCGCAGCCTTTAAGAGCTGGGTCTGGGGTTAAGTAGACTTCGATTTGAGTGCATTTCTGCCACTTGTTAACCATGCCACCTTGGGAAATCAAGTCATTTGACCTCCCAAAACTTCATTCCCCACACTTGTAAAATAAAGGTGGTCCCTCACAAAGTCTCAGAATATAAGAGAATGGCTATCACACTAGACAATGTCTGATTCCAGGAAATATTCACTTCAGTTAGCTGGTACTGTTAGTGCTGATGTTACTTTCGAAGGGTTTCTTCCAATACTTTCTTACTTAGTTTTCCTAACTATTCCAGAAGCTAGGCAAATGGAGTTATCTCCATTTAGAGAGGAGGATACGCCATCTCAGGGACGCTGCCAGGGCTCCAGGGCATTCCACATAGTGGAGGTGGGACTAGTATTTAAGGCAGTGATTGTAGAGGAGTGTGTACAGGCCTGTTCTCAGGATGTGGACTGCCTGGTTTCAATCCCATTTTAGCTTCTTCCTACTTAGGTGAACTTGAGCACATTCATTAATCTCCCTGGACTTCAATTTCCTTATCTGTATAATGAGAATAGTAATATTCCTTACAACATAAATTATTGTGAAGAGAATAAGTGAGTGTACACATATAGAACAGTGTCTGGCATACACTTAGTCCTATATGAGTATAGTCTCAGTAGCATTTTCTGGCCCCTAGTGCAGTGCTGTGCCACCACACCAAATGGCATGATACAAATGGTTCCAGGTGCTCTTTTTGCTTGCCAGCCCTTCATTGAATCTCTGCTCATTATCCCAGCTAATAGAGACCTGCACTGGGAGATGGCCACACCCAGAAGCTTTTAGACTAGGCTTTTGCTTAAAGCAGGACGTCCTGCAAAGGTAAGACCAACGGTGTCCCTGAAAGCAGGTTGAGGGCTGAGATGACAATGGAGATGCCAAAGCATTGCCTTGGAGACTGGGGATGTAGATTTCTTCCAGCCAGCCCTGGTAGTCTAGTGGTTAAGATTCAGCACACACTGCTGCAGCCAGAGTTCGTTTCCTGGTCAGGGAACCACACCACCCATCTGTCAATTGTCGTACTGTGGCGGCTGCATGTTGTTGTGATGCTGAAAGCTATGCCACCATTATATCAAATACCAGCAAAGTCACCTGTGGTAGCCAGAATCATTGGAACACTAGGACTTTGTCTCTCTTTCACCTGAGTGTGGGATTCATCATTACTATCAGAGTAATGGCCAGCACGAATGGACTGTCACTACATGCCATGGAGGTTCTCTCTCTGCATTTAGTCAAGTGTGAGCTTCCCAGGGGCAGTGCCTTAGGATTTTAAAGTTGTTTTTTATTTTCCTTTTAACTTGCTTCCTCTACACCTCTTTAACTCAAACTTACTAGTCATGTAGAACTATAATTTATTACCTCTTACATTACATTTGTATCACAGGATGCAGTGTAGGTAGGTTAACTCAGCCCTGGGTCTCCTCTCCACAACTGTCTTGTTTAAAAACAAGAACAGTATTAGTTCATTGACATTTTCTTTTTTGTACTCTCACTTGAGTGGCATACCAACCATTGAGAAGTTCACAATCAGGGAGGGAATAGTAAGACATTTCTATTTTGATTCTAAAAATATTTTACCTAGCGTTTTCAGTGCTTGTTCAAGTATGAATGCATGTAAAAGAACTCTTCTCAAATGATTTTTCTAAAATAATTGCTACCTTATTTTTAAAAAATGGTCATTAAGTTTATTAAAATGTCAAGTGGTCTTAGCCAACACATGACCAAATTATATTTTCAAATGTATTTTTATTCTCACTGAATAATACTGAGAGATGGTATATAGAGCCACTTACTTATTTGGTATAATATCATGGCCACTGAAAACATTCCAGGCCCTCAAACAACCAGATAGCACCAGAATCAAGATTCAGAGATAGAACACTTGTCAACAATTATGTAACGGCTAATATAGTTACCCAGATTGGACATTGTTACTTGAGACTTTGAAACAGCTAAAATAGAGAAAAATGATGGGCATCTGAAGATGCAAGGTATGGGATGATAATCAGGTCTCTGCTATTATTTTTCTGTGCAACAGTCTACTCCAAAATATAGGGACTTAAATCAACAGCCATTTATTTGTGCCCTGATTCTATAGTTGGGCGCTTTAGGTCCAGCTCAGCTGGGTGTTTTCTTCTGACTGATCCTACCTAGTGGATAGCTGCTGGTCAACTAAGTGGCTCTGCTTCCGGGGGTTGGCTGGTTGTTGGCTGGACTTATGTGTGTCTGGGCTGCATGGTCTGTCATCCTCCACTAGGATAGCCTGGCCTTCTTCTTATGCTGGGCTACAAGTTCCAAGAGCAGCAAGAGAGCAAGCCTCAGTGTGCAAGCACATTTCATGCTTGTGTCATGGTTTCTGTTGTCCCATTGGCCACAGAAAATTACATATCCAGGTCCAGAGTCAGTGTGCGAGAGGGCCACCCGAGGGCATGGACACTGGAGGCGTGAAACATTGAGGGCCATTCCTGCAACAGTCCACCGTACCTGGGTTCCTTTACTTTTTTACACTTTGGCTTAAGGTGCACTCCAATGTTTAGAATCAGTTGACCTTTATTTATTAATCTACTTGTAATTATGTACTTAAAGATTTTTTTAAATTATAATTGTTTCCAGGAGAGACAACACATCAAGGTATTTTGAGCCCTTATCATCTTTTATTAGTTTTTCATTATCACCGTATATTAGTTTTCCAAATTGGTCTGCAATATCTCCCAGGATGGATGGGAGAATGGATTTTGACAGCGTCTGGGGAGTTAAAAGGCTGTGAAGGAGCTAATCACTATCCAGAGATGATATATCAGACCAGTGTCGTGGTCTGAATGTGTTCCTCAAAAATCACATGTTGAAATCCTGTGCCCCAAGGTGATGGTATTAGGAGGTGGGGCCTTTGGGAGTTGGTTAGCTCATGCAGGTGGAGCCCTCGTGAATGGGATCAGTGCCCTTACAAGAAGAAGCCTGAGAGAGCTCCCTTATTCCTTCCTCCCTGTGAGGTTACAGCAAAATGATGGCCATCTAGGAAGCAGGTCCTCACCAGACGCTGAATCTGCCGGCCCCTTGATCTCAGACTTCCGGCTTCCAGAACTGTAAGAAATAAATATCTGTTGTTTATAAACCACCTGGTCTTTGGTATTTTGTTATAGCTGCCCAGACACACTAAGGCTTTCCAGTGCAGGGTGAGGGTGAATAGGAGCTTGAGAAAACTGGAAGGCAACAGGAAGATCCTGCTTGCTGATAAAGGATAAGTGGTTAAAAGAAGAAACTGACATTTTAATGGAAGATGAAGGGACAGGAGGAAGCACAGCAAGAGGAGAGTTTAACACTTATGGAGCTCTGATCCAAGGTGCAATTCACTGAGTAAATGTAGACTGTTCTGGGTGATTTTAGTCCGTCAGCAAATATTTTGAGCTTAACGAAAGGCCAGACACTGGCAAACAGTAATGAACAAGCAGGCAGCATCTCTTCCCCTCATGGGTCTTACATTCTAGTAGAGAAAACAGACACCAGCCACACCGTTACACCTAATTAGTTGACAGCAAGTGGATGAATGCTGTGAAGAGTATGTACATGGAGCTGTAGGAGTGTATACCCCACCTATTCAAGGCTGAGATAAGGCTTCCCCAACAAAGCAACACTGAAGCCAAAACGTCATCTTTTATAGTGCTGGCAACAGTTTTGTCAGGATTCCCCAAATGATCGTGATGTCTTGTGCACAATAAATTCGGAGACAGAAAAGCAGTTACCTAAGATCAAAGCAAATAGGTGACTTATCTGGGATTCAAACCCAGGTTATCTTACATGTTGTCCATACCACAAGGCACACAGAGCCTATTGTACATGTTTTCTAGAGGTTTCTCAGTCGCAGGATATTTTAACTAGGAAAACTACATTGTTTCAAACAGGTAGAATACATTGTACAAAATTCTAAATGTAATATACAGTGAAAAAGTGGGTCTTCCTCCATGTCCTGTCCCCTGAGTGAGCTTCTCTGCAGGCAACACCAGTCAAGTTTCTTGTGTATTTGTCCAGAGGTATATTTAATTCTTGCAGCACACACTTTGTGCCAGGTGACTTTCTAAGTGCTTTACAAATGTTTACTTGTTTCGTCCTAATAAGTTTATGTGGTAAATATAATTATGAACCTCATTTTTCATGTATACACATATTGTATTTTTCCACACAAATGTTGTAGGTTTAAAGTGCTCACCAAATTTTGAGATGCTTCTCCCTGCCTGCTAGTCAGGTTTTGCTTTCGTAATACCACCTAACAAACAAGGGCAAAGTCTTAGTGGTTTAATTACAAACATTTATTTCTTACTCACGAGTGACCTGTGGCTCAGCTGTGTCTCACTCGGGCTTTGCTCCAGACTGGAGGTCAGATTTGTGTGTGCTTCATGCATCTCTCCGTCCAGGACCTAGGCTCAGAGAGTATCACCTTCCAGAGAGATCTTCACGCCAAGTGGCAGGAGCACCAGAGGGAAAGTGGAAACACAGTGCTTCCAAAAACCTCCACCCAGAACTGGTACACTGTCTCTTCCATCCACAGTCCATTGGTCAAAGCAGATCACATGGCCAAGTCCAAAATCTATGGGGCAGGGAACTATAGTCCACATGGCAAGTGCAAGGAGAGAACAAAAAGTTTTGAGTGAAATTATCTACACACACTGAAAATCCAACTTTCATATTTTGTAGTTGGTATGTAGAGGAATAACTGAAAAGATATGACTGTGAATGAATTAATAATTTTCCTGTGGTCTTCTGCTGGCAAGATATAAACAGCTCCCTCTTTTCTGTTTGCATTTCCCAGGTTTTTGCATCATGTTTGGAAAGAAAAAGAAAAAGATTGAAATATCTGGCCCATCTAACTTTGAACACAGGGTTCATACTGGGTTTGATCCACAAGAACAGAAATTCACCGGCCTCCCCCAGCAGTGGCACAGCCTGTTGGCAGACACAGCCAACAGGCCGAAGCCCATGGTGGACCCTTCATGCATCACACCCATCCAGCTGGCTCCCATGAAGGTATGGTGAGGCTCTGTCTTTACAGTGCTTGAGAAGCATGTTCTCATCTGGTACAGCGTACGATCTTTACAGGGAAGCTGTCAAATGCCTAAATAATTATTTGCTTTTAAATATCCGGAGATTATCCACAATTATTCTTCAGTGATTGTAATGTTCACCACTTACTGTAAATTGTAGCACATGAAAAGGAATCTCAGCTCTCAGATGTGAGATTTTTTTAAATCAGACATATAACATGCAATCACAAAATAGGAAATTTTTGTTTCTACTTTTAATGATGTTTGCTAGTCTTTATACTGAAGAATATTATCCACCCCTTCTGGTACATATTGGCAATAACCTCTGATTAAACATTATATTAGACAACCTTTTGTTTCACATTTGCCATCAGAATGTTCAAATTTTTATATAAAGTTTACTGCTAACAGATTTTAACAACATAAATGATTTTAGGTATATGTGTACACACATATGTGCATACATATATACATATACACACATATTACATGTTTTATATGTAGTCAAATATATATAAGTATACATATATTCCCATTTGTCTTCATAGTCTAAGAGCTATTTCAAATAAAAGTAATCATTTGAGTCCTAGAAAAGGGTGTAATTTACCCTAGACAAATGGCCAGTAGATTTTTGACAAGGAATGTTCATGAAAATAATTGTGTTAAAGCAGAAATCAGACATGGTAAATTTCAGATATGTCAAGTTACTGCAAAGAAAATCCAGCCATTACAGTTTCCTTCTGCATCTCAGAATAAGAATTCCATAGACCATCAAGCAATTGCCCAAAAGCTTCCTTAGACATCACTGAAGTTTGTCATCCTGTTGTCCAGCAGATCAGATTCTATCCTCTATCACTTGCTCATTATATTAGTAGACAGCTGAGCTACAGGACTGCCTTACTCCATGTTAATGTAAATATCGAATACATTGTGTTTAAATAATGGGCAAAACAAAAGTGGATACATTTGTAAAAGGATGCAGAGAAGCATAGCTGGTAAGTTATGGGAAATGTTTATAAGGTGTCATCCGAGCTGACTACATTCGAACGGTGATTTTGTCACAGTCTTGGTCGTTCTATTCTGATCTTGAACATGCGGGGTCTATTCTGCCCAAAGATCAATGCAGAGTCTTCTAATCCTCCATCTTCTGAATTTGATTTTCTGATAGGATTTTGAAACTTTTCAGGCCAGCTAAAATGTAAAATACTCAAAAGATGGATATTTGAGAAGATAAATCTTTAGGGGCAAAAGGAACTTCTCATTTGAAACAGGTGTTGATTGATATTTAATAGAAACTGACCCATTAACCAATTCTACTGGTTAATATTAGGCAATATCTTACTATTGAACACAATTTTCTCCCTAACAGAAGGTTAATTCTTCACCAACGACCAGATAATAGGTTGGGCCATATCTGAAAAGAAGTTAGGATTGGAATGAATTTTCCTTTTAGTTTCATTGTTTTTCTCATATCCCAATATTTTATAAAACCCAGAAAAATGGGATGTACATGTGCCCAGAAAAGCCCTCTGCTGTGATCATCCTGGTGAAGGAAAAATGGTCAAGTTAAACTAGGGCTTATTTTCTTACCTTTGAGTGCAGGTATCGTTGGCTTAGGAAAATTCTAGAAGGAGGCAGAGTCTTAGTGTAATATCCTAACTAAAGGCCCAGGACGTGTGTTCTCCTGTTAGAGTGTTTGTTGTTGGGTAAGGACAGAGTATCATGTGTTGTTTATTTCACAATGGTTTTTCAGTTGTCCATTTCCTAGAAGGTACTAGCTGGCAGTGAAAGAAGCAGCTCCTCTCTCAGCAATTAATCCACCAGGCTCAGTGGACGTGGGACTTAAGAGGACTTTCTAGCTCATTTCTTTCGTCTCTGGGATGAGCTGGCTTGTTATCCTGTCGGACAGAATTTATCAGCCCCACTGAGAGTTGGAGCAAGGTTTCCTAATGGCTGAGCTCCTGAGCCCGTGATCCTCTTACTCACTTTATGGGCTTTTTAGCCCTGGTATCAAATGTGTGAGCATCCAGTTTGTATGAAATCAAAGTATTTGTTATAGACACTTAAATGCTAACTGGCTGGTGACTGGAAAATACATCTCAAGTATAGATCCAGCCCTGGATTTCTGCAAATGAGACTCCAGGCATAGTTTTGCCTGCGAGAAAAAAATAAAAACAAACAAGAAGAGACAAAACTATAATCAGCTAGGTTGAGTTTTTCCCAGAAAGAGTACCCAAGAAATCTGTACGTCCTACTCTCGCCAGACTCTTTCAGGTTGATCCTCTCTCTCTCCAAATCCTGTGAGCGCAGTTAGCGCTGTTGGCAGCTGTTGGACAACATTGATGGTCCGAAAGAATCCTGCCAAGTCCACCAGCCTCTTAGAATAAGGGAAGTAAAAGCTTCAAGAGGCCAGGGATGCCATGCACTTTGGATGATCCCACTTTTGGGAACTGCCTTCTCTGGAGACATCTTCCAAGTCACTTGGGAATGACGTATCGTGAACCGTGCAGAATATATCTCAGAAATCAGAACACTCCTTCAAATAAGAGCTGTGAACGAAGTGACAGAAAGGAGTGGATAGATTTGTGCAGATTTAAAGCCATTTTGGCAAAGTTATTTAAGTCAAGTAGAACCAACAGTTCTAATTTGGTCAAGTTGTCCTTTAAAGCAAACAAAGAAAAATGAGAAAGGAGAACACGACATAAAAGCAATAAATGGAAGCCGTGTATAGTGCCTTATGTTGGGACAAAGTGCCGCTGCTTCAGTATTTGTCAGTAAGCTGCAGGCAGGCTAGTGCTGAGTGGAAATGAGCCATTGCAACCAATCCTCTTTTTCTCTGATTGGTTAGGATTCCAGCTGTGCCGATTCAGAAGCTTCTCTAAATTGCCTGCCATGCTTACCAGGACACACCTCTTCTATGTAGATTTATTTAGATCAGTGTTTCTCAAACTACAGTCTGTCAGAATCTCCTGGAGGGCTTGATAAAACAAAGATTGCTGGACCCATCCCCAGAGTCTCTGACTCAGCAGGACGGGGATGGGGCCCAAGAATTTGCATTTCTAATAAGTTCCCAGGTGATGCTCATGTGCTACTCCAGGAAGCACACTTTGAGAACCTTAATTTAGGTAATTATAAAGGAATTTGTCTACATAAGGTCTAATCAATACAAGTTTACTGGCCAAGAATTCCAAGATCTCAGAAATGTAACCAGAAGCCACGGGTTAGCTTGGACTTGTGTCATAAGTTAAAGTCCAGGTACCCAAGCCAAAGAAGTGTAAGAAGTGTAGGCAAACCGAGATAACCTGAATGCCTAAAGGTTGGGGGAGGATCCCTGTAAATCATTTGACAAATATCTTTGAGAAACTTCTTTTTGTACCTAACGTCATTTTGTCCACAAGAACATCATAAGCAATATTACCAAAATTCCTGCTGAATTAGATGCATTTTTGTAGAGGGCGGGTTGAATGGTCACATTTGTTCTTGCCCGGTGGTTCTCAAACTTGGGCTTTCAGCAGAATCTCCCGGGGAGCTTGTTCTAACCCAGATTCCTGGGCTCTACCCTAGAGATCCTGATTCAGTCGGTCTGGGGTGGGTCCAATGATTTGATGTCTAACAAGCTTTCAGATGATGCTCATGCTGCTGAAGGTGGGGGACTGACTTTAAGAACCACTGTTTTAGGTGGACTGAAACTAGAGCATAGTGATCACACTTTCTCTTTGTGAACAGCCCAGAAATCATTTGAAAAGCCTTAAAAAAATACAGAGGATAATTTTTAAAGTCTTTATAGCTTCTACCTCAAGTGAACAAATAGCATTTCTTAATATTTGCTTCAAATTTATTTTTTATTTCCATGTAGAACTAAAGAAATAATATTAAATAGTATTATTGGCGTACTTGAATTTTATTAAGTATTGTCATACTGTATACTGTAGTGTTCTCTAATTTGCTTTTTTTACTTAACATTGTTTTAAGATAAATTCATATTGATATACAGAAAATGAGTTTATTTAAAAATTATAGGGTTGTTTTTGGTTTTTTTTTTTACAGTTTATCCATTTCTCTACTAAGGGATGTTGCCGAGTATTTGCTATTGTAAATAATATTGTCATGAACATCCATGTTCATGTCTTCTTGGGTGCATGCTGAAAAGTTTTCTTGCAGCAGATCTCAAAGTGTAGTCCGGAACCCCTGGGGGTCCCTCAGACTCTTTCTGGGAGTCTGCAAGATCAAAACTCTTTTCACAATAATTTTAAGGCATCTTTTGCCTTTTTCACTCTCTTTCTCTCCCAAGTGTACAGTGGAGTTTCCCAGAAGTTACGTGATGTATGTTAACATAATTGGTCTGATGCCTAATGGATCGTGTGCTTTGTATTTTTATGTTTTAAGTGTTTCTCTGTCTTAATTTCAAATACGGTAAATATTGATAGATATAACATAAACCAAAGTCTTTTGTGATCCTCAATAATTTTAAAAGGTTCTTGAGACCAAAAATTTTGAAAACCACAGTCTTAGGGCTGACATCAAATTTGGTTATCCGTGGCTTCTCCCATTTGCTCCTCACATATTACCTATCTTTTTTTGGTATTTTGGGTGGGTTTTTTTTTCTTAGAGAGTTTTGTCTTCTCCAGATGGCTGGTCATCTTCTACAATTGTTTCAAAGATAATTGAATGTAGTGTTCCATCCCTTTTACTGTCGTAATATAATTGCTCTGAGCCAAAAGTTTTGAAGTCATTTAGAATGCCTACATTCTTACTCACCATCCCCTTTTCTAAGTTAACCTTAAAATCCTTTCTAACAATCTTCTTTTCAACCTTTCAAGTTTTAAGATTCACAGAGAAGACCAAAGTAAAACTGGCCTTGAGTGGGTTTACTTCAGCTTTCTGGTCTTTAGTATTTCATAATTTTCCAAAGCTGAGGTTTTCTCTTCTTAGTGTATCTCCTGCCCCTAACCATTGCATTAAAAGCCACTCTACTCACAAAAG